CTTTTTTTTTAAAGAATTTATTTATTTGAGAGAATGAGCCACCCAGGCGCCCTTATTTCTTGTAATATATTAAACACCTTTTTATTTTTGATCCCAATATCTGAAATTTTTGCAGGTCTTATTTTGATGTCTATTGTTTCCGCTGACTCTTACTCATAATGCCTTATTTGCTTTGGTGGTTATTGATTTTTAAAATTATAATCCAGGGCACCTGGGTGGCTCAGTTGGTTAAGCAACTGCCTTCGGCTCAGGTCATGATCCCACAGTCCCAGGATCAATCCTGCATCGGGCTCCCTGCTCAGCGGGGAGTCTGCCTCTCCCTCTGACCCTACCCCCTCTCTTGTGCTCTCTCTCACTCTCTCAAATAAATAAAATAAAATCTTTTAAAAAAATTATAATCCATTTTCATTGAAACTTTATCAGGTGAAATTCTTTTGAGGTCTTAGATGAAATTCAGTTTCTATACAAATGATGTGCATTTGATTCTCTCAGCCACCTAGAGACCTTAACAGTCTATGACCTATTTAAACTAAATTCTAAGTTTGAGTCTTTCTATTCAGAGCAATTTGGGGCAGCAAGTCCATATGAGTGGTATTTGTAATTATATGTTTTCTGGGAAAATTTCTACCTTTTCCCCCTTCAATTCAGTAGTTTTCCTAGAAATCCTGGGGGTGGGGGGTGGGGGTTGAGGATGCTTTAGTTATATCTTGTTCTTTTTAAAAAAATAAACTTTATTTCAAAATAATTATAGTCACAGGAAGTTGCAAAGGTAGTACAGTGAGGTCCAGTGTACTCTTTATCCTGTTTCCTGCAATGGTAACATCTGTGTAATTGAAGTACAATATCAAAATCAAGAAACTGACACTGGTACAATGTGTGTTTGTGTAGTTCTGTGCCACTTTATTGTATGTGTACATTCTTATAATTACCTCCACAGTTAAGATATGGAACTATTTCACCATGACAAAGATCTCCCTCAGGCTACCTAGCTTTTTTACACCTAGCAACCAGTAATTAGTTCTCCATCTCTATAATTTTGATTTTGTCATTTTGAGAATGGTATATAAATGGAATCATACAGTATGTGTCTTTTGAAAATGGCTTTTTTTTTCCACCCAGCATAATGCCATCTAAATTGATACATGAATCAATAGCTAATTCCTGTTAACTGTTTAGTATCATTCCAGGTTAAGGATATACTACAGTTTGTTTAATCATTCACCTAATTAAGGACATTTAGTTTTTCCCAGTTTTTGGATACTATAAATAAAGCTTTTATGAATATTCGTGAACAGGTTTTTGTGTGGAAATATGTTTTCATTTCTCTAGGATAAATGCCCAGGAGTGCGATTGCTGGGTAATATTATAAATGTATGTACACGTGTGTGTTTTTAAGAAACTATATCTCTGGGGGCGCCTGGGTGGCACAGTTGGTTAAGCGTCCAACTTTTGGTTTCAGCTCAGGTCATAATCTCAGGGTCCTGGGACTGAGCCCTGTGTCAGGCTCAGAGCTCAGCGCAAAGTCTGCTTGGGATTCTCTCTCTCGCCCCCTCTGCCCCACCCCCACTCACGTGTGCGCAATCTTTCTCTAAAATAAATCGAAAGAGAGAGAAAGAAAGAAAAGGAAAGAGAAAGAAGGAAGGAAGGAAAGAAAGAAAAGAAAGAAAGAAAAAGAAACTCTCTCTGGTGTTTGGTACATACACATTTAGGATTGCTATGTCTCCTGTTGATTTACCTTTTTTTTTAAGATTTTATTTATTAGGGGCGCCTGGGTGGCTCAGTTGGTTAAGCGACTGCCTTCGGCTCAGGTCATGATCCTGGAGTCCCGGGATGGAGTCCCACGTCGGGCTCCCTGCTCAGCAGGGAGTCTGCTTCTCTCTCTGACCCTTCCCCCTCTCATGCTCTCTATCTCATTCTCTCTCTCAAATAAATAAATAAAATCTTTAAAAAAATTTTTTTAAAAAAAGATTTTATTTATTAATTTGAGAGAGAGAACACAAGAGAGGGGAGGGTCAGAGGGAGAAGCAGACTTCCTGCTCAGCAGGGAGCCCGACGCGGGATTCAATCCCGGGACTCCAGGATCATGACCTGAGCCGAAGGCAGTCGCTTAACCAACTGAGCCACCCAGGCGCCCTGGATTTACCTTTATATCATTGTTATGTTCCTCACTGTCCCTAATAGTTTTATTTGCTCTTAAATCTACCTTATCTGATATTAATGTAGCCATTCCTGCTTTCTTTTCTTTTTTTCTATTCCAGTTGTCTTTTGATGAATGTTGCCATGATATATTTTTCCCATCCTTTTATTTTCAACCTGCCTATATCATAGTTAAAGTGAACTATGTATAGATGAACTATATGGTGGGAGTATAGCTCTCTGGCTCTAGCTTTATGAGAATCTCCACCCACACACTTTAGCAGGCTTTGTTCTTCAACCCTCTCAAGGCCCATGAGACCACAGAAATTCATATGCAATGTTACCACTGGCAAATACCCTCAAGATAGAAGCCAACTTCAGTGCTTCAGTTACCTAAGTTCCCATCTTCACACTCAGTCCTTGACCTGTGTATTTTCTCTCTTAATAGTTTTCACTGGGGGGCGCCTGGGTGGCTCAGTCAGTTAAGCGTCTGCCTTCGGCTCAGGTCATGATCCCAGGGTCTTGGGATTGAGTCCTGCGTTGGGCTCCCTGCTCAGCGGGGAGCCTGCTTCTCCCTCTGCCTGCTGCTCCCCCTGCTTGTGCTCTCTCTGCCAAATAAAAAAAAATCTTTAAAACATTAAAAAAAAAAATAGTATTCACTGGGAAGGTTGGTGTGTGCATTTAATCTACCATGTTGCTGGAGAGCCAACTTAATCCTTAAAACAGCTCTCTGACAGGGGCACCTGGGTGGTTCACCCGGTAAGCGTCTGCCTTTGGCTCAGGTCATGATCCCAGGGTCCTGGGATCGAGCCCCGCATCGGGCTCCCTGCTCAGCGGGGAGCCTGCTTCTCCCTCTCCCACTCCCCCTACTTGTGTTCCCTCTCTCGCTGTGTCTCTCTCTGTCAAATAAATAAATAAAATCTTTAAAAAAAAAATAAACAGCTCTCTGACAGGTATTACTGCTCTCATCTTACAGATCATGAAAATGTATGACAGGGTGAAAGATGATATGATATCGTGGAAACATGAGTTTGAGGCAGGCCAACCTGGGATTGAATTTTTACCCCTCACTTAGCTGTGTAATTTAGGGCAGCTTACTTAACCTCTTTATTTTATTTATTTATTTATTTTTAAAGATTTTATTTACTTGTCAGAGCAAGGAGATTTTATTTACTTGCTGAGCAAAGAGCCTGATGCGGGACTTAATTCCAGGACCCTGCGATCATGACCTGAGCTGAAGGCAGATGCTTAACCAACTGAGCCACCTAGGCGTCCCTCACTTAACCTCTTTAAATCTGTTTGTTTATCCATGTTATAGTACTTCTCATAGTGTTACTGGGAGCATTAAATGAGAAATTCATTAAGGTGCTTAGTATTTTATTAAGTACTTAGCCCTGAATAAATGGAAGCTACTCTGATCATTGTTGTCCTAATTGTTGTTAAAGAGTCAATAACTTGGGGCGCCTGGGTGGCTCAGTTGTTAAGTGCAGTTAAGTACGTTGCAGGGCTGAGATTCAGACTTAGGTCTGTGATTCTAAAGCCCATACTCTTTTCCCTACACATGTTGCTTTCTTAACTTGTTTAAATGGTATTCACAGAGGAAAAAAAGAAAAGTAATAATTCACAGATCTTTCATACATTTATCTGTATCATATCTAAATAATCTACACTTATTTATTTTAAAAGTTGGTTTTTAAAAGTGTATGTATGTATGTGTGTATGTATGTAATCTCTACACCCAACGTGGGTCTCGAATTTCACAACTCCACGATCAAGAGTTGCATGCTCTTCGGACTGAGCCAGCCAGGTGCCCCTAATCTAAACATTTTTTTTTCCAAAGATTTGTTCATCCATCCTAGAGAGAGGAGGGGGAGAGTCGGGGGGGGGGGGGGGAGAGAATCCCAGTGGGGAGACTGATGCGGGGCTCCATCCCAGGACCCTGAGATCATGACCTGACCCAAAATCAAGAGTTGGATGCCCAATCAACTGAGTCACCCAGGCACCCCTCTACACATATTTAAATGGCTAATTTCTGTAAGGAATAGAAAAAAGAGTCTCAGCACTTGATCTCACTAGACTTTGATTCCATCAAGAACAGTTTGTAGTTAATGCAGTACTTAGACATTCAGGCTGTAGAAATAAAGAAGACCTAGATTTGTGTTCTAGCTTCTCAACTTCTAAGATCCACAATTCTGGTGTGTTAAATAGGAATAATGACATAAACTTCCTAGTAGGAATATTCTGAAGATAAGATAAAATAGTATATTTAGAAAAGGACCTAAAACATGGTAAATGCTTCCAAATGGTAACTATTTTTAGAACCAAAGGCAGAGACTATTTTCTACATTTATTTGTTGATAGTTCATAATAGTTCAACCAATCAATAATTAGTGCTCATTAGTACAACTAAAGAAAATATATGGCACTCAACCTGTTTGATATTAAACAGGGTATTAAATTAAAAAGACACTAAATTTGATTCCTTACAGCTAGAAGCTTATTGTTTATGATAAGCAATCCTCTTACAGAGCTGGCTCTATCACCTATGAATCTCAGAAACTACAAAAACACTTAGAATCATCATTCTCTCTGAGAATGTTTAGAGGTTCAAGTCTCTTAGCATGCATAACCAGAGAAAGTCTCTATTTCTGCTTTGGAAGATAATTTTTTCTTTCTTTCTTTCTTTTTTTGATAATTTTCTCTTTCCTACAAGGAAGAAAAAATACAAGAAAAAACATTTCTTTTTCAATGGTTTGTAAAGACCTATTGCTCAAATTCATGATATAAAGAGATGAATATATAAAAGGGTTCACCCTCTCCAATAATCAGGAAAAATGTATAAATAAAATTCAGACTATAATTACCTCCTTCTTCTGTTCTTCCCCAGCCGCTTATAAAACACTTTGTGTTTTGGTCCAGTTTTTGGAAAACATCAAAAGGCAGACAAATAGGCTGAATATAGTCAGTATACCTCACTGCTTTTTTTAAATGAAATAGTGCAATATCATTTACATAAGTTTCCAAATTGAAGTCTGGATGGATAATGATTGCTTTAACTTTCATCTTCTTGGAGTGTGGATGATGCCCTTTTATACTATTAGTTCCAATCACAACTCTCCACATTAAAGGATCTCTGAAAGAGAATAAATGTTATTATAAACATGTTATTTAACTAAGTAAATATTCTTAATCTCCTAGTTTTTGTTTTTCTGTTAGATTAATAACAAAAATTTAATCCTACGTTCATGTACATGAAGTCACATCAAATAAAAACCAAAATATCATGATGAAGGAGAAAAAGATCAGTGGGACAGAGGGTCCAAAACCAGATTCGAGTACATGAGATTTTAATATATGATTAAGGTAGCACTTCTTACCAGTGGACAAAAGAATGAATGATTTGATAAATGGTATTGGGACACCTAGCTAACTAGTTTGAAAAGTGAAATAAGATTAAATCTCTGAAAAGCACTAAACAGTAAAATAAACTTGAAATTGATTAAATGTTAAATGTAAAAAAATTTTTATTATAAAATCTTTAAAGTCTACTTTTAAAGATACATAAAGTGGTATGTCTGAGATTTGCTTCAAAATAATTGAAGGAAGGAGTTGGTCAGGATAAAGATGAAATAAGATCAGGCATGGGTTGATAATTTGAAGCTGGGTGATAGGCATATGGGAGTTCACTAAACTATTCCCTTTACTTTTGTAAATTTTGAGGTTTTAGAATGAAGCATTTGGATATTAAATTAGCATGAGAATTATAAAAATTAAACCAGAAAGAAAATGTAGATGAATACATAGCAATGATAGCATTGATATAAAACAGGAAGCAACTAATGGGTCTTGACAATCTTAAAAAAAATAATAAAGAACAAGTAAAAAACCAAACTAAAAAATCCTTTGTGGGTCAAAATCAACAATTAAAACCTTAAGCATTTAGGGATGCCTGGGTGGCTCAGTTGGGTAAGCGACTGCCTTCGGCTCAGGTCATGATCCTGGAGTCCTGGGATCGAGTCCCGCATCGGGCTCCCTGCTCAGCGGGGAGTCTGCTTCTCCCTCTGACCCTCCCCTCTCTCATGTGTGTGCTCTCTCTCACTCATTCTCTCTCTCTCAAATAAATAAAATCTTAAAAAAAAAAACAAAAAAACCTTAAGCATTTAATAGTTGTTACATTTGGAATTGGATTGGGAAGGAGGACCTTTTATACATTGTTTACAAATGCTGAAATTCCTTTTCATTATTCAAATTGGCAAAGTTTATGAGTGTGTGTGTATGTGTTTGATGATAATGCTCAGGACAAACAACAGTCACAAAAACAAAGGAACTCTTATTCATATGGAAAGTATAAACAGATAGGTACCTTGGCAGCGTGTATCAATAGTCTATAAAAGTTGCCTTGTATTTTTCTTAAAGATTTATTTATCTGAGAGAGAGTGAGCACGGGGGGAGGTGCAGAGGGTGAGGGAGAGAGAGAATCGCTAGCAAACTCCCTGCTGAGCACAGAGCCCAACTCGGGGCTCAATCCCAGGACCCTGAGATCATGACCCAAGCCAAAACCAAGAGTTGGACACTCAACCGACTGAGCCACCGAGGCACTCCAAGTTGCACTGTATTTTACTTTGCAATTCTACTTCCTAGAATTTCTCCTAAGGAAATACAAAACATTTAGCTATCTTAAAAGTGGATTAGGTGACCTCTAGAAAGTTTACCAAAAAATTTTAAAGCCCTAGTTCTATTTTTTATACAAAGAAATCACTGCTTTAAGCTACTTTGAAATAATGATCTTTTTTTTCTTTTCCAAACTTATTCAACTTATATTCCTTATTTACTTCAATTTATATCAGACCATAAGATTAAAAAACAGGCTATATACACTGAACACTGCAAAACATTGCTGAAATTAAAGAGGACATGAATAAATGGAAAGACATCCCATGTTCATGGATTGGAAGGCTTAATATTGTTAAGATGACAATACTACCCAAGGCGATCTACAGATTCAATGCAATCCCTATAAAAATCTCAATGATATTTTCTGAAGAAATAGAAAAACCCATCCTAAATTCATACAGAATGCCAAGGGACTCCAAATAGCCAAAATAATCTTGAAAAAGAAGAATGTAGTTGGGGGACTCACATTTCCAGACTTCAAAACTACAGCAAAGTTACAGTAATCAAAATAGTGTAGTACTGGCAGATACACCCCCCCCCCAATGGAACAGGATAGAGAGCCCAGAAATACAACCTTACATATGGGCTCAAGTGATTTTCAACAAAAGTGTCAAGACAGGGGCGCCTGGGTGGCTCAGTTGGTTAAGCGACTGCCTTTGGCTCAGGTCATGATCCTGGAGTCCCAGGATCGAGTCCCGCATCGGGCTCCCTGCTCTGCAGGGAGTCTGCTTCTCCCTCTGACCCTCCCCCCTCTCATGCTTTCTCTCTCTCATTCTCTCTCTCAAATAAATAAATAAAATCTTTAAAAAAAAAAGTGTCAAGACAATTCAGTGGGGAAAGGACAGGCTTTTTCAACAAATTGTGCTGGCAAAATTGTATATGTACATGCAAAAGAATGAAGTTGAACATTTACTTTACACCATATGCAAAAATCAACTCAAAATAGGTAAAGGCCTAAATATAAAAATAAAACAAGGGAAGCTGGGTGGCTCAGTAAGTTAAACATCTGCCGTTGGCTCAGGTCATGATCCCAGGGTCCTGGGATCAATTCCCGCATCAGGCTTCTTGCTAGGCAGGGAGTCTGCTTCTCCCTCTACCTGCCACTCCCCCTGCTTGAGTTCTCTCTCTCTCTCTCTCTGACAAATAAATAAATAAAATCTTTTTTTAAAAAAGTAAAAAACTCTTAGAGGAAAATACAGGAGAAAACCTTCATGATACTGGATTTGGCAATGATTTCTTGGATATGACACCAAAAACATAGGTAACCAAAAATTAAATAAATAAATAAATAAATAAATAAATAAATAAATAAATAAATTGGACTTCTTCAAAATTAAAAACTTTTGTGCATCAAATGACATTATCAAAGAGAGTGAAAAGACAACCCACAGAATGAGAGAAAATATTTTCAGATTACATATTTGATAAGGGATTGATATCAAGAATATTAAAAGCATTCCTATATCTCAACAAAAATCCCAATTAAAAATGGGCAAAGGATTTGAATAGATATTTCTTCAGAGAAGATATGCAGATGGCCAATAAGCCATGGAAAGATGCTTAACATCACTAGTCATTAGAGAATTGCAAATCAAAACCACAGTGAGATACCACTTCACTTATTAGAATAGTTATGATAGTATAAGTGTAAGTAGTTTAAGTGTAAGTGTAATAGTGTAAGTTTTCTAATCAGTGTGGAGCACTGGGAGAAGAAACAAATTTAAGAGATACTGCGCAGAGAGAGCTAATACCCTGGGTAATGGAGCTGTTGGTGATGCCGTTATCTGAAAGAATAGAAAATGAACAGGATTAGAGGAAAGATTTTTGAATACGTTTTCCAACTTGTTGAGACTGTGACTCTAGTATAAATGTATAGTAGGGAGCCAGAAATATGACTCAGCTGGAGAGACTTGGGAGTTTCCAGCACATGGTGATTACTGAAACAGAAGTAGATGAGACATCTCTAGGAGAGAGCACAGATGATAAGGCAAGAGGATGGGAATGGAAAATGTTGCCATTAGATGATGACAAAGACTCATCAAGGAAAAGGGGAAAATTAGAGGTGACTTAGAAATCAAGAAAAGAGATAGCTTCAAGGAGAACAGTGGTCAACTTTGTCACATGTTATAAAGCTCAAATAGGATGGGGACTGAGAAGAGGTCATTGGATTTGGCATGGAGGTGGATTTTTAATAGTGTGTTCTGAGCACTGAAATCAGACTGCAATTGGCTTTTTTTTTTTTTTAAGATTTTTATTTATTTATATGAGAGAGAGAGAATGAGAGACAGAGAGCATGAGAGGGAGGAGGGTCAGAGGGAGAAGCAGACTCCCTGCCGAGCAGGGAGCCCGATGCAGGACTCGATCCAGGGACTCCAGGATCATGACCTGAGCCGAAGGCAGTTGCTTAACCAAGGCTGAGCCACCCAGGCGCCCCTGCAATTGACATTTTATAAGTCAATGCAGATGAAGCAAAAGGGAGTTTCCCAAAAGGAAGGGAAGAAAGGAAACAGTAGGGTTCGTTGATAGGTTGTAGGGAAGAAACCAGAGAGAAGATTGAAAAATACTAGAGACAATGAGGTACAATACAACAGCATATGTTGAAGAACCAGGTTTAGATCAGGGGGCTGCTATTTAACAGCAGTGTGATCTTGGGCAAGTTATCAAATCTCCCTCATCTTTGGATTCCTCAAGTATAAAACAGAGATAATAATAGCTATCTCAGAGAGTTACTGGGAGGGTTTTTGTTTTGTTTTTTAGGGATTTTATTTATTTGAGAGAGAGTGGAGGTGGAGGGGCGGAAGGAGAAGGAGAAATAGATTCACTGCTGAGCAGTGAGCCCGAAGTGGGGCTTGATCCCAGGACCCTGGGAATCATGACCAGAGCTGAAGGCAGATGCTTAACCGACTGAGCCACCCAGGCACCACAGGGCTTTTTTTTTTTTTTTTTTTAACACAGAATTATATGTAATGTCCTTAGTACCTAATCTCAGAGCAAGTCTTTGATAAATGGTTGTTCTAAGAAGGAAAAAGGGATAGTTGATGGTGCAAGGTTTAAGAAATGAGGGGGACTGGAACAGAATATGGCAAAGTTAGTCCTCTGACAGGATGCTCCTGAAAAGTAGAGAATATGCCTCAGTACTGTCTACTGCTTCAGCACCTAGACCAGTCCCTAGCATATAACATACATTCAGTAAATGTTGAGTAAAGGAGTAAAACATTAATAAGATTTAGTCTTGAGAAATGTTAAGTGGAATATGACATTATCTTCAAATGCTTGGAAGAGGAATTGGGTTACATATAAATATGGCTTGAGAGCAGATAAAAAAAAAACCAAGACACTTATTTCAACGTAAGAAAAGCTTCCTAAGCATTAAAGCTGTCTGAAAATGAACTGATATTCTTCCCAAGGTAGCAGTCCATCATCACAAGAGATGTTTCAAGTAGAGAGCCATATGGTATAGTTGTAGTTGTATGTGTGGGTTTTCATTCTGGCCAACCTAGACTTGATCCCTGATTTTGTTGCTCTCCAGCCATGAGCAAGGTACGTAAGAATGCTTAAGTCTGGGACACCTGGGTGGCTCAGTTGGTTAAGCGTCCGCCTTTGGCTCAGGTCATGATCCCAGGGTCCTGGGATTGAGTCCCACACCAGGCTCCTTGCTCAGTGGGCAATCTATTTATACCTCTGTGCTCTCTTTCTCAAATAAATAAATAAAATCTTAAAGATAGCATGTTAAGGGTGCCTGGCTGGCTCAGTCAGTGGAGTGTGGGACTCTTGATCCTGAGGTCATGAGTTCAAGTCTCATGTTGGTATGGATTCTACCTAAAAAAATAAAATAATAAAATAAAAAGTAGCATGCTATACAAGCGTTGTAAAACACCCCTGAAAGAACAGAATTGATTCCTAAATCTGAAACTTTTCTTCTAGATCTCTTTCTATACCCTTGGTTTATACCTTAGTATCTTATTATTTTTCTACCTCTATTCCTCAGGTCAGTTTATGGTTGAAAAATGTATACAGGGGTGCTTGGCTTGCACAGTTGGTAGAGCATGAGGCTCTTGGTCTCAGGGTCATGAGTTCAAGCCCCATGTTGGGCGAAGAGCTTACTTTAAAAAATGTAGTATACAGGGCGCCTGGGTGGCTCAGTTGGTTAAGCGACTGCCTTCAGCTCAGGTCATGATCCCGGAGTCCCGGGATCGAGTCCCGCATCGGGCTCCTGGCTCAGCAGGGAGCCTGCTTCTCCCTCTGACCCTATCCCCTCTCATGCTGTTTCTCTCTCTCTCTCTCTCTCTCTCTCTCTCTCAAATAAATAAATAAATAAAATCTTTAAAAAAAATCATTAAAAAAAATGTAGTATACAGACTAAAACCTTATGTACTCCATCAGGTCAGTTGCCCTCAATTGAATTTTTTTTAAAAGATTTTATTTATTTATTTGACAGACAGCGAGAGAGGGAACAGAAGCAGGGGGAGTGGGAGAGGGAGAAGCAGGCTCTCCGCTGAGCAGGGAGCCCGATGCGGGGCTCGATCCCAGGACCCTGGGATCATGACCTGAGCCGAAGGCAGACACTTAACAACTGAGCCACCCAGGCACCCACCCTCAATTGAATATTTAAGTTGTTAGTTCCTCTTAAAGACTTTTCATTCTTCTCTAAGAGAGCCGTTCTCTTAAATATTAAAGACAGGTACCATGGTTTCCCAAAGGATTTTTCTTAGAGCTTCATATTAAATGGTTAGGAGAGTCATAGTTCTATTCTAACTGTGGTAGATCCTATTTCTCTAAGACTGACATCATCCACAGAATCAGTAAACATTTATTATGTCTTTTATTAAGTAGGCTAAGTCTTCTATTAGTCCAAGGAATACAAAATAAAACGTGTAGCCCTTGTTTTTCAAAACTAATGATCCAGGGGTGCCTGGGTGGCTCAGTGAGTTAAACGTCTGCCTTTAGCTCAGGTCATGATCTTGGGATCTTGGGGTCCTGGGATCAAGCCCTGCATCCAACTCTCTGCTCAGCAGGGAGTCTGCCTGCCTCTCCCTCTGCCCCTCCCCCCACTCATGCTCTCTCTCTCTCTCTCAAATAAATAAATAAATTCTTTAAAAAAAAACACTCATGATCCAATGGTGAGAAAGAAAAACACATGGTTACAATATAATAATTTTAAAAGCTAAAGAAATCGTCATTATTTAAAACAGTCTGACAAATTCCAACCCAAAGGCCAAATCTGACCTGTCTTCTATTTTTGTATAGCCCATGAGCAAAAAAAAAAAAAAAGTTTTTTATACTCTTAGATGGCTGGAAAAAAAAAAAAAACCCAAAAATATTTTGTTCAAATTTCTGTGTTCATAAAGTTTTATTGGATCACACCACACTTATTCAATTGTATTGTCTATGGCCACTTTGGTTCTATAGTGGCAGGGTTGAGTTGTGACAGAGTCCTTAACATTTGTACTGTCTTTACAGAAAGTATGTTGACCTCTGATTCACAGGATTCATTTCAACAAACAGTGTGCTAGTGTAAAGCATTATGGCTTCTTGTAAACACACAGCTTAACTGAACATGGGTGAAATCAAATGGTCCTCTACTACTTCAAAACATCCCCCAAGAGAATAAAATAGGAGTTGTGTTCTGAATACATACCTAATGTCCTTAGTGCAGTGGGCAGCTGTGAGGACCCACTTATTTTTCACTAAGCTTCCCCCACATATATGAGCCAGAATTTTGCCTGATTGAATCTGCAGGCTAACTACCCATGGCCATGCGCCAGTTTGAGCTGTTGTGCCGCCTATTATCCGAGACCCTTCCAATGCATCTGCAAGTGGTGCTGTCCCACAATCTAAAAATAAAAATCATATATTATTTGTACTGAACATCTAATATGTATTCCTAATCTTAACATACTAATATAATCTTTTAGATTCCTATTTAAAAAACAGATAAAGTAATCTGTATACCTAAGGCATGCCCATATTTTGAAAAAAAAAATCTTAAAGGAGAGTTAAGACAAACATGCCTTAAATGATCACTACAAATAGAAAGGCATTAAATCAACACAGTTTGTTAATTTTAAAACTCTATTCCCCCAAAATATAAAAATGAGGTAAGTTTCTCTGACCAGGTATCACGTTGTTGCCTGTGCAAAATGGCAATTAAAAAGCCTGGGACTGGCGAATCAAAAGCTACAAGTTCTAATAGTCGCCATTTGACTTGCTGGGTGAATTTTTCTCGAGTGTAGTAGGACAAGGTCACCTACGAGCCTTTTCAACTCTGAATTCCACTGAATTATTAATCTTTAAAATGGGAATGACAGGGCGCCTGGGTGGCTCAGTTGGTTGAGCGACTGCCTTCGGCTCGGGTCATGATCCTGGAGTCCCGGGATCGAGTCCCGCATCAGGCTCCCTGCTCGGCGGGAGGCCTGCTTCTCCCTCTGACCCTCCCCCCTCTCATGTGCTCTCTCTCATTCTCTCTCAAATAAATAAAATCTTTAAAAAAATAAAAATAAAATAAAAATAATAAATTAAAAAAAAAAGAATATATAGGGGCGCCTGGGTGGCTCAGTCGGTTAAGCGACTGCCTTCGGCTCAGGTCATGATCCTGGAGTCCCGGGATCGAGTCCCGCATCGGGCTCCCTGCTCGGCAGGGAACCTGCTTCTCCCTCTGACCCTCCCCCATCCCATGCTCTCTCTCTCAAATAAATAAATAAAATCTTTAAAAAATAAAAAAAATAAAATGGGAATGACAAACCTCAATGTTTTGAGCACACAGAGCTGCGCTCCACAAGCGTATGGCATTTTTGCTACAGTGACTACCACACCGTCATAATTAATCGGACTGCGTAGGTCTGTACATTTTAAAGGCAGCTGGGGCAGCAGAAAAGGAGGGACCCAAATTCAAACACTACAGAAGTGGGGAGCACGCCCGGGAGGCTGCCGAAAGAGAGGAATGAATGGATACTGCCCTCTGCGGCCTCCGCTCCCTCCTCCAGGGCCTGGAGCGCCTTCCGCCTCGCTGGCCCAGCCTCCCGCCACCCCGCTGCACCGGGCTGCTCCCGCCAGGAGCTGCGCCCGGTCCTTCCGGAAAGTGAGCCGAGTCCGGCGTCCGGGAGAGCGCTCCCCACGAACAGCAGCGCGGCGCTCAGGAGCCGCAGCCCCATTTGGGAACTCCCGCTGGGCAAGATGGCCGCGGGGCGCCGCCCAGGAGACGCGGTGTGCGGGCGGGGCGCGTGCGCCGCCGAGGGCCAAGCTCGCGGAGGAAGCCGGGGGCGTGGGGGCGTGGGGGCGGGAGGCCCGGGGGGCTGGCCCCGTTGCCCGGATGCGTGCGCCCTGGGGGCGGTATCCTCGTTGGCGGGTGCGCGCGGGGAGTCCTGCGCCCGGCCGGCGTCGGAGCGCTCGTGCCTGCGCCCGCGCCGCAGGCCCGTGCAGTGCAGTTGGGCTTCTGTGCGGGGAGGGGATGCGGAGCCCCTGGGCCCTGCGAGCTCAGACTTGCAGGGCCTGGAAGGCTTCCGGAAGTAAGGGCATCTAAACCGAGGCACCTAAGCTGGGGAGGGGAGACAGAAAGCAGAAGACAAAGCAAGTGCAGAGGTTGGGATCTGAGATGAGATAGGCGCCCGGGAACCCAGATTCTGTGATAGAGATCCATCTCGTTATTGTTTTGCAGTAGTTTGTCTTCAGCCCGTCGCCTCAGGGTGAGCTGGTAGAATCAAATTGAAGGACCTGCAAAGTTAAGGACAAAAGCTGACTGATGGTAACTGCATGCGCTCTAGCTCTTTTGCTCTCTCTTTTTCTCCCCCTTCAGTCCCTAGCCTGAGAGATGAATTATTCCTGGCCCCTCTCAGAACCCCTGAGATGCCTTTTGACATTCCAAACACTGTGGGGAGAGGACAAGGATAAGTGGCTCCAGTTAATTGATCTATTGAACAAGTAGGTATTAACCTCACACTATGCACCCATGCTGAAATAAATATCACATCACAGGAGGGGTGTTAAGACCTGGCCCTCTTGAGGCACCTGGGTGGTTCAATGGGTTAAGCATCCAGCTCATTTTCTGCCCAGGTCATGACCTCAGGGTTGTGAGATGGAGCCCCGCTTTAGGCTCTGGGCAGGGAGTAGAGCCTGCTTAAGATTCTCTCCCTCAGGGGCGCCTGGGTGGCTCAGTCGTTGAGCGTCTGCCTTGGGCTCAGGTATGATCCCAGGGTCCTGGGATGGAGTCTTGCATCCGGCTCCCTGCTTGGCAGGAAGCCTGCTTCTCCCTCTCCCACTCTCCCTGCTTGTGTTCCCTCTCTCGCCGTGTCTTTCTCTGTCAAATAAATAAATAAAATATTCAAAAAAAAAAAAAAAAGGATTCTCTCCCTCATCCTCTGCCCCAACCCCTCCTCTTAAAAAAAAAAAAAAAAAAGAGAGAGAGAGACCTGGCCCTCTAACCCAGGGAACATTATAACTTGGCTAGCAGAGAAAATTACTTGGGGAACAAAGAAATAAACCATGACACCTAAACCTAATACAAATTCAGACACAAGGGATTGGTGTGGGCTGTGGCAGTCTGGGAAGTTTCCCCCAAGGAGGGGGTTGTGAGCTGGGCCTAGACTAAGGGGGAAGATCAAGAAGAGGAAGGAGATGTAGTGAAGACCAGCCAGGCTAAAGGTGCAGCATAAACAAAGGCATGGATATGTATCCGTTTCTCCAGAGAAACAGAACCAATAGGCTACGTAGAGATATATAAGATACTTATTATGGAAACTGGCTCATGCAATTAAGGAGGCTGAGAAGTCCCATGATATGCCATCTGCAACCCGAAGAACTAGGAAAACCAGTAGTTTCAGTCAGTCCCAATCGGAAGTGCTGAGAACCAGGAGCTCTGATGTGGGAAGACAGGAGAGATGGACATTCCACGTCAAGGTGAAAGGGAGAATTTACCCATCCTCTGTCTTATTGTTCGATCTGGGCCTTCAGTGGACTGTATTGAATAACATGTATATACACTGGTGAGGGCAGATCTTCTTTCCCTCCGTCTTTGGATTTAATGCTAATCTCGGAACAGAAACACTCTTACAGACACACCCAGAAATAAAATTTTACCAGCTATCTGGGCATACTTTAGTCAAGCTGATACATAAAATTAACCCTCACAGTAATAGTAATGTAGTGTGTGTGTATAATCTTACTATTGCTTTTACTGTTTTCTACTATAGAGACAAAAGAGAGAAGCCATGCCTTAAAATTTTCCATCAGGATATGTAAGAGAAAAAATTAAGTTAAAGGCGTCTTCCTGGTTTTGTATTTGATTTGATTCTGTTTTGAGTCCAGAATCAACTATGTGTGCCCTTCTTCCCTTTAGCAGAGTCATTTAATACGGTTTTTAGATATGCAGGAGTAAGCTTTGAACCTGCTTCCTACTTAGGGGTAAGGGCATTTATTGCTCAGCGTAACTGAAGAGAAATTTTTCAGTGTGCAAAGGAAGCTGGGGAAGAGGGAGGAGAGAAGCAGGCAGCCCAACAACATGGCAGAAGGCCAGGCCTGAGCCAGAAAGAGATCTATGAGAGTTTCACAGGGTTAGATTGACCCAGGCTTTTTAAGAACAGTGATGTCTAATGTTTGGTTTTAAACTGCTTTATCGTTGCTATCCTGAGCTGTGAAGGTTGCTTCTGTTAATCCCACATCCTCGGGGACAAGGGAACAGTGTGGGCTGTGGTAGTCTCGGCGGTTGGTCACATGATGGGGAATTAAAGCAGGGGTCGGCAACAGGACAGCTGCCGTGCTCATATCATCTCTCAGAGGTCATCATGGTTGACAGCATTAAATCAAAGGAGGCTATTAATTGGGGCTTACAGGTGGTAACACGTGGTAAAGGGAGCAGATCAGGGCAGGGCTGTGCAGAATCAGTGGGTGAGAGGTAGGCGGTAGTGGAGGGAACAAGTTGCAGCTTGGACTGACCCATGGGCAGACAACAAACAGATTTCTGTTCCCCAGATACTTTAGTGGAAGGTGATACTTGAAAGGGGAGAAATAGGGCGCCTGGGTGGCTCAGTCGGTTAAGCGACTGCCTTCGGCTCAGGTCATGATCCTGGAGTCCCGGGATCGAGTCCCGCATCGGGCTCCCTGCTCAGCAGGGAGTCTGCTTCTCCCTCTCCCGCTCCCCCCTCTTGTGCTCTCTCTCTCTCTCAAATAAATAAATAAAATCTTAAAAAAAAAAAAAGGGGGAGAAATACAGTTGGGGTGTGGTTCTCTGCGGGGGCGATGATCACATGATCAGATCGGGAATGGATGTGAAAGCAGGTCAAATGACAGGTCTTACTGGGACAGATAACAGAGATTTAACAAATTTCTTTGACATATTCTGATCAAAGACAGGTGCATGTAGCCAAGTCATGAAAGGGCATTGAAAAATGCAGTGGACCAGTAACTGCAGAGGTCCTGTGCCTGGATTTCCTCTGCATTTTCTAGATCTTCACTCTTCTCTCCTGTATTGTCACTTCCTTTCTTTGTGGGATGGCTCCCATCAGTGGACAAATATCCTCGGGGGTTGGGGGGGAGTAGGCAGCCTCCCAAATTACCTCCAATTAGCCCTCTCCTGGTATTCACACCCTCATTACACCCCCACTCCCCACTGCCATTAATGTTAGCTGGATTTAGTGACCTGTTTCTAGCAAATAGAAAGTTGCAGAGGTGATGGGCTATCCCTTCCAAGATTAGGTTATAAAAAGACTGTGACTTGTTTTGTTTTTTTTGTTTTTTTGTTTTTTAAAGATTTTATTTATTTATTTGAGAGAGAGAATGAGAGACAGCACAAGAGGGAAGAGGGTCAGAGGGAGAAGCAGACCCCCGCTGAGCAGGGAGCCCGATGCGGGACTCGATCCAGGGACTCCAGGATCATGACCTGAGCCGAAGGCAGTTGCTTAACCAACTGAGCCACCCAGGCGCCCCTGTGACTTGTTTTTGATGTTCTCTCTACCTCTCTTGCTCAGAAGGAAGCTGGCTGCCTTGTTGTGAGTTGCTCTATGGAGTGGCCTCCAGCAGTAACCAGTGAGGGACTGAGTCCTCTATCTTACTGCCCAAGAAGAACCCAATCATAGCACACCACATGAGTGGGATGGAAAGTAGAAATCCCCCTTGTCAGACCTTCAGATGAGACCACAGTTCTGGCTAACACCATATTTCAACCTCATGAGAGACTATAAGCCAGAGGTACCCCACTAAGCCACACTCAAGTTTCTCACTCCCACAGAAACTGTGAGCTAATTTCCTAACTCATTTTATGAGGCTAGCATTACCCTAAAACCAAAACCATACAAAGATATCAGAAGAAAACTACAGACCAATGTTTCTCATGAACAAATGCAAAGATTCTCAATATATTAGCAAATCAAATCCAACAGTGTATAAAAAGAATTGTACACCATGACCAAGTGGCATTTATCCCAAGTATGTAAGACTGGTTCAATATATTTTTTTATTTTATTTTATTTTATTTTACTTTATTTTTGAGAGAGAGAGGGAGGGGCAGAGGGAGAAGGAGAGAGAATCTTAAGCAGACTCCATGCTGGGGTCTGGGGCCTGGGGTTGGCTCTGTGTGTGTGTGTGGGGGGGGTGAC